TTTGCCAAATGGAGGAATTCATAATTCATAGCCGTCGCTTGTATTGTAGCGAATGCTTTCCTATGAATGTTTGGTTCATTGTGAGCGTAATTTATGTAAGCAAGAAGAAGGATCTGTTCTGTCTCCTCACTCCGTTTTATTTCGAATAGTTTTACCTCTGCAGCAATGAGACAGCTAAATCTTCAAATGGGTCATTAAATTCTCAAGCGATTGTGCGATGTATTCAGAGATCATGTCATGCAGTGGATTTATTCAAGGAGTAAACCACGAAAGAGGCGCATTCTCTTATATTTTAGACGAAGTCACCAAATTTTCTTTGACAACCTGCATTGATCGGGCCTGGTAGAAAGGAAATAAACATATGACAATGAATTAGAGAAATATTAAGGTGCTAATTGTACTCGACTCCTCTATCCACCGTCGTTGATCAAATGAAAGCTACTTGAATGTGCTAATTTTTGGCTTACTTTTTTGGTTCATTTGCGGAATTCGGTATATTTGGCAGTATGCATTTACAAAACCGGGGGGGGGGGGGGGGGGTGGGTTATCTATCAGAAACCTAGGTCAACAGACATTATTAATCAAACTCATGTAAAACGACCTAATGGTATGATTTAATTGAAATGGTCGCTCATACAAGCTGATATCTACGTGCCGAAACACGTGAAATAGCATTAAACTAGAGCCAAAACTTTCTAGATTATATTGAAGGAAGCTTTACGCGTAGACCTATTCTAATGAGAAAGTCGCCTCCTACTAAGCCTTCTATTGATGCCACACCAGATGCATGAAGGACATCAATCTTGTGACTTTTGGCCTCTCCCCCCCCCCTTTGTGCACTGCGCTACCGGCATATAAGTAAACAATTTATTCTTTTTTCACTCTTTTTTTCTACGCGCCGGAAACGGCTATTAAATGCTTGATCTACAAATTTAAGCAATTTAATTATAAATTGTTATCATTAGGACTTTGGGTGACCTCAGACTTCACAGAGGGGAAGGAACATCAAAGTGAAAGAAGTCGAGAGGGGGGGGGGTGGGGAACAGAAGAGTGTTTCAAAGACGTAGAAGCGACAGACACAAAGGTAGAAAAAAAGGTGAGGTGAGTACTGTGGAAGTAGTCGAATATGACAAACAATGGGATGATGATAGTTTGAAGTCAGAAGCTCATAGACTCTTTTTTCCATATGAGTATACGTTGTCCAGGGTGCACCACGTGGAGGTAAGTCTGTCGCAATCTGGCAATGTTTCATCTGGTTAGAATCGGATGTAGGATGTTTTGATCAATTGCATTACTTCGAATAATGGTTCGAAACGACAAATGCACACAAGGGCGAATTAAGAAGTATCAATAAAAAAAGAATACAGATCTCAACAGAGCTTAAGTATTTCTTAGAGCCCCATATTCCAAGTGTCTTCTGAGACCCCTCAGTTCAAATAGAGCCTGGACTTTGCGATTCTTCAGCATAGTTGCGTATTCGTCATGAGTACAGATTAACTAGAACCTTGACAAGCTTCCCTTGTACGACCATGTAAATGCACTCAAATTGCTCTCTACGCAGTTAGTAGTTCGCTAATGACATTGCATTAGATTTATTCTTGATCCACCCTCCACGTATCACCAAAAACAGATTTTAATCTTCCCTAAAACCTCCGTCGGTAATGCTACAACGAGTATTGCCCACCTTAATAGAGAAACAATATCCTAACTTACCGGTTACGTCAAGCTTTCAAGTTGACGTTTGAATTTTTAAAAAAGCAGTCCAATTTTGTTCCAGAACCAAATATATATCTTTAAAATAGGTATATATATATATATATGTATAGATATTTAAATTACAGAAGTAGCTTTGTTTTCACAATCGTCAAACTCAAGAAGATACAGAGGACATGCAAATTATTAATCATCTGTTTTCTTTCAGAAATGGTGATAGGTTATTTGTAAAGTTAATATAAAACATATTTGCAATGACCAACAGCTAGCCACCAATAAAAATAAGTTTGCGGAAATGGTAGTAATTGTAGGCTGGCTGAAGAGCTCGCAATCAAAGGAGTAGGGGAGTGGGGGGGGGGGGGGGGAGGGAAGACGGAAAGGAAAAAGCGCGTGGAACCAACGGGAGTGTGCAGCAGGCAGGTGGCGACGACATGTCACAGCACCTAGACTGGTGTAGAATCATCAAAGTCCTTGAAAGACGTGGCATCGGAGGCTGTACTTTCATCCAGAGTTCGGATGGTTGAGGAGTTTACCTTCTTCACTTTTCCTTCCCCAATTGGACAACATCGACGTTTCTCCGTCGACGAACAGCCTTGTCCGCAGTCATAAAGACACTCTTCTGGTAACTCTTCAATTGCTGCAAACTACATAAAATAAGAGATCGTTTCACACTCATTACAACTTGCTCAAATGCCGATTCCTTCAAAGTTACAAGTTTAAATGTAGAAGACTAAGCAGGAATATTTAATAGTTTTACCTTTACTAAGGGCCAGTCTATTGGAGAAATGTTCTGAAACACACGTCGAACGCTCCTTTAATGAAAGTAGGATTCTAGCAGCCTTGGATATGTGCCGATATATAACAAACCCATAACCCGTGACTTCGCAAAACAATCACACCACCTTTCATCCTGTCTATTTGCAATGTAATCTTAAACCCGCTTTCTTTTCAGCAGAAAGTTCATCTTTGTTACCTCAACAGTTTACCTTTCTACAATCCACAAAAAAGTGGTTTAAAACCACCTTATTTATGTGACACGTTGACCTGATAGACGTGTCCCTCTGTGGCCTGAAAATGTGCCACAAGAATAAACCACAAATAGATATATTGGCTCATTTACTTTAAAACCAGTGAAAACTGAAAGGGAAGAACAAAAAAACAGAGATGCAGTAAGATAGAGAGGGAGTGCGAGATTAGGTGAGGGCCAAGGTAAAATGATAGGTGAAATAAAAAGTGTCAATGATGTTTTTACACAAGATAAAAAAGCCAAGAAATGAAGAGAGGATGATTATGCCATTAACAAAAGTGAGTTGACAGTTAAAGTAATTGAGCTAATATCAGCGAACCCGCTTGAGTTGAACGGTAATGATTGCACAAAAAGTACTTTTCGCCATTTTGACAAAAAAGGGGTGGCCAACTGCATCAGCTCTAGATCGTCTCAAAATAAAAATAGGGAGAAGGAAGACTCTATACAAGCACAACTCCAAACAGATAGGGGTGTTAGGGGAAAAATGATGCATTTGTTAAAGGTTATTGTTCCCATCTTCAGTGGCTCCTTGGTAATCATCCCGCAGAGAAATGGTAGCTTCAGGTATTCCAGCGGGACTGATAACTACAGGCGTTGGAGTCACGCTGGATGACCCATTCTTCAACCGTTTCGGGTTGTTGCTAGTACCAGTGTCGTTGGGATCCTGGTTCTGAGTAGCGCAACAAGTTGTGGGACAGCAGGTCTCATCTGGGCCGCAATCATAGAGACACTCCTCGGGATTATCAGTGGTTCCCTAATGGATGGGTGCAGGGAAGCAATCGGTTAGAATCAATTAGTGCAAATCAAAGCCAAGCTGTACATCGAGAGAACATGATTTGGCACGCAGGGGAGAAGCATGGAAAGAGAAAAGGGAAGCAAACAAACTAATCAGCATGCAGGTGTACGAAGCACGAATAACAATAAGTTAAGTAACGCTAAATCCACTACAGACGCGCATATAACGACTAGGTTTCTCAACACGGGGTTATGTAAACAGTCTGTGATGGATGAACGCACATATGGTAGCACACCAGATGCGAAATTCGAAACTTACATCTTCAAATTCCGGTTGAATTGTGGTGCAGTGGATATTGTTTTCATGGAATATGGCCTTCACCTTTCGGGCAACTTCAACATAATCCGCTATAAAAGTTCAAAAGAATCAACAACAGTGATTATTAAAAGTTGTGGTGATGATTCCACTCAAAATAACCAAAATGAAATTGGTGTTCGTGTGTAAATTTAAAAGAAAATAAACAAATTGCTCGCATAAAGAGATGTAATCACAAGAATCAAAACTTTCATATTTAATAATGATTGGAATCACATGGATTTGGGTCCATTTCCATTAATGATAGAAATAAATAAGATAAAACAAAAAATATTCACCATAATGATTTCAAATGCAATAGTAGTTAGTTTTCATTATTCATCAGTGGTGACCAACAAAAAAATTGAGTAGAAAGTGTAAAATAAATAAAATGAAAGAGGAGGAGGAGGAGTTAATTGTTTCGAAGCGCATTGTGTGAGGAGACTTACAGCATATACCTATGAACACAAGTGGACAAAGCTGGGGTTAAAAAGGGAGAAACTTATCAGAATGGAAAGCATAATCGACCCACCTTATTACATTAGCTTATTAATTACTCGAAAGTGGTATTTCCGAGTTCTAGTAATTACGAAATATAAATTAAGATTGTCAGTATTTGAACTAAGCTAGATGAGCTTCAAGTTAAAAAAAGGAGAGGAGAAGGGGGTGGGGGCACTAATACACACCCAGTATTTCGATTGTACATACGCACTTATTTATTTGTAAATAAGCACGCAATTTCCACAATTTCGGCACATAGCCCAATAATTGAAAACTACGTGAACATGTTTACGTTCATTCTACGTAGGCGTCCACACTATGGCATTTGCCAATTACCTACTTGGAAATATGACTCTTATCGGGTCTTGGTATATTATCACCTGAATACTGACTGTGCAAACAACTAAGGTGACAGACAATCGCGCATTACATCAATTTATTTATTACTTGGCATCTGATGATGATGTAAGTACTGTATCGTTACTTTGTTTACATAAACTTACTCATTTTATGGATACTAAAACAAATTCCGCCTTCAGTAGCCGAAGATATTGAGTATTAATCAAGGAGAAAGTGAAAGAACGTAAGGAGTGGTTTCAGCAAATCCCCCCCCCCCCCACCGGGATATTCAGGATATTTGAGTGGAAATACCCACCCTGGTGTATGTTTATTCTGATAAGTAAATAAATGTGCGGTGGATGACGCCACTTATGAAATTTGTGAACACCGCCGGACATGAAAACTACTACAATGAAAATAGGTCTATGCATACAAATATCTTTGAATGTTGCGTCTGCCATGCATTTGTCTAAACGTTGGTGGATACAAAAGCTCACACAAGCACACGGTATTAAAATACTGACCATGGTGGTAAATGATTTAACAACTGAGATCCTTTATGACGTTCGAAGTGAGAAATAACAATCAAATGAAGGAGGTCAAAGCTGACAAAATCTCCAAATTCAGCAATCATATGGTTGAATAATTCGAGCAGAAACGAGCGAGCGCCTTCGAGCGAAACTCAAGTTTAGGCCCTCATGAGGCTAGACTATTCATTATTGAATTTCAAGACTAGCATGTAGACGCGTAAGACTGTCACTGAAGTAAGTATTGGCTATCTAGGGAGTCAAAAGGTAACCACTTCTCCTATCCCTTATGAGCAAATGCATATTCCTAATAAAAGAAGTCGTTGGTTCGATAAGGGATCTTTTTCCTTCTACCAAAAAGGGGTATACGTACTAATTCCTCCATAAAAAAAGAACCAAGAAACGTAAATCATTTCAATGCTTTCTCAGGATTGAACCCAAAACATTCTATCAAAGCCATTAAAACCCAAAAAGCAATGAATTTAGAAGGTATGAATGAAAATTTTCGATGTGCTTTAGCTGCACAGGCTCGGTGTGAAAGCTCCATTTGGTGGGAGACAAATTTGAAGTGCAACTATCTTGTTAAATTAAAAGTAAATACTAATAATAACGATAAGTACAAAAATAAGAACTGACAGCTATATTTGCACAGAAAGGTGAAAATTCGTGACTCTATTATCACAATCGTCAACTTCAAAAATGAGACGAGAACATTGAGTACTACTTCAGTTTAAACACAACAATGAGAAACGAGAAGCAACAAACAGTAGACACACAAAACGAAATTTAGTGTTTAACGTATACTTGCTTATAAGTTGAGGAACGCAGACTAAACAATAGAGAGGGGGGGGGGGGTTTAGACTATTAGAAAATTAGACTAAGTTGTATGAGGAAATAATGTTATTAACTAAACCCCTACCGTAAGTAGGTTTTGATCTTGCTAAAATGCCGCATAGATTTAATAATGAAACGAAAAATACAATTGGAAACAAGGCTAATACAAGTATCCCATAATACTTGCCTCGCTTTTGAGTCAATTCTACTTCTAATAATTATTAGAAAACAATTATGAATAACGATTTAAACTGGAAACAAATAACTCCGACAGAAATCGGGAATGTTGCTTACGCTTTCTGGGCGCTGTAATAGGTGAAAAGAAGACGTGGATGTATAGTGGCACACATGGTCAGTGAACACTCAAAAACAGTCGTCAGAAAGGGGAACTAACGAGCGTAAACAAATGCGCTAATAAATTCAATAACTCGGAATAAGGCCGTTAATGTCTCCATTTCAAAAGAGCTTCAAAATCAGCGATTTCTTGCTATTTCCAATCAGTTTATGCATAAATCCATATCATTCCACTCTGTGGTAAGCTTATTGCGCAGAAAAAGTTTGATGTAACAACTATTTATTATGGATTATTAGGACAGTGAGGTGCGATTTTCAATGCCATAACTAGAGCCCCGATATGGACTATTCATCGCGCCGTAAACTATTGTCAATGTTCACAAATATTTAAATCACCAGGTGATAACACCCGGCTAAGGCAATTTATGATGTTACCCAGATCAATCCGTAATTCACTAATCGATTACAACCGAATCTATTACGCAGAAGTGCAGTCCATGGTTCCGCTTGAATAAAGGTCTTTATTTACATTTCTAACGTCATTATAATTATCCCTGCAAAATTAAGCCATTGATTCGATTAAAGATAGGCGATTCAAAAGGCTTTTCTTTTCTCCATAAATGCACATAGTAAGTATTTCATCTGATATCCAGATTTATAACTGCAACGGAAATGAAATAGGGACTATTTAAGTGGCATTGCTGAAAGCTACCTCATCTGTTTGCACTTAAACGATTTAATTGTTAGCCAAACCACGACAGTGGCCTCATTAAATTAAACTTTAACGGTTAAGCATGGGGAATCAGTTTTTTTCTCACTTCATTTCATATAACAGAAACGATGAGATAAAACTCAAACGAAATTATCACTTAATTGAAAGAAATCATATGACTTACGATTGTTACGTCCTTCTGAAACTAGGTTTTCAATCGAGACATGAAAAGCCAATTAATAAGCTGGCACTGAGAGAGAATAGCTTTAACTAGCAAACACATCTTAATTTGAAACAAGCCATCAATACATGGGTTAAAGACGTAAGTGAGAAAACTGTTAGTTTAACAAATCTATATTGATCCTGATTAATTGTTCTATCCACTTTTATCAAATGATTTACTTTCCCGTGAACCGATTAGGTTCATTTAATAAGTTGAGCACAACTTTTTATTCACTCAATTTCTCCAAAAAAAGCAAAAAAGAATGATCTATCCAACGCCTAGTACAGAAATACATTTGGGCCTTTTCACAACTTCACCATCACTTAGAGAAAGTGGCAGGAGCAGAAAAGAAGGTGGAAAATAAATTAAACGAGGGAAAGAACTGGCTTAAAAAAAGCAAAACATAATGCCTAAAAGGGTTTAACTGCTTCTGTGCTCTAATTAATGCAATGAGTAGGGAAAATGTGTTCAATCAAATGTAGATTTTTGCCAATGTTAGGAGATACGACTGCTCAATTAATAGGGAAGAGAACACAAACTGTGAATGGAGCAGTGAAAGTTGGCAATTCATGCTTGATTAACAATTTCGGAAGTAAGGATCAAATACTGATTTGCTCGCTTTGTCAAGTAATCCTAATAGCATTGAAAAGGTTTGGCAAGTTTTGATTAAGACACCACAATTAATGATAGTAAATGTTAGGAAGGCAATTTTAAGCAAGATATTACTATGTGAGCATTGTATTCAAAGAAACATGAACTCCGAACGATTGAATTAAGAAGGCTCAATCAGTCTGTGCAAGTTCTTGTTAAGTGAATGAAGAAAAACGGTGTTACTTATGAGAGAGAATCTTTGAATAGTAATAATACAAAGGCATACACAACTGCCCATTATTTTGGATTTCATATACTGCTACTGAAAGTGGCGATTGAACCTTTGTTAAATAAGATTAAGGTCTTTATATTAATGCGCATTAATTTCTAAAGAAAGCTGGATGATAACCACAATGAATTCCCAATCCGAAAGCGATTTCATAAACAAACTTTCTCATTCTCTTTTTAACTTTAGTATTAAAATACCACGCATATGCCAATTCAATTATTACAGTATATATTCACTTTATAAATTTGTGAGAAAATGTATTTATTCAAGAGGGTAACACAGAACAGCTTAGATTTGTCAGTCAGGCCAAAGTTTTGAAAATTGAACAAACTAACAACAGTTTTGGTAAACCTACTTGGATCACTAGCTTTCTCCAGCTCTGTGGACCGTAAGTAATGTCAAAATATTTAAACATGGACCGAAATTGGGGGGGGGGAATTAAACCGCTTTTTAAAACCAAAGTAACTCAGAAATTCCGGAACTCACTTGCAGCCTTTTTTGTTCCACCTGCATTCAATGGGTGGGCTCTTATTGTTAAACACAGAGAATACACATGAGAATACACTACTATGCAAACATACGTTTCTTGAGTCCTGAAGACAAGCGGAAGTAAAATACCGTTCAGGTTAAATTTGAAATCTTTTATGAGGAGAATAAACGAAACATATAAAAGTAGAGAACAAATCCTCATAACTACACATACGATTAAAACGCATCTTTCGACCTTTTTGAATTGACAAGGCGAAATTAGAAACATACATATTTTTTAAGAAACAAATGAAATTGACCTACGTTTTGGTGATGGTGATCTCGATCTAGATCTGGATCTCGAGCGTTCTGAATTGCGAGACAATCAAGATGCAACATGGATGCACTTTATCGAAATGAAGGAAACCTAATTTCAAGACTTTAGACCTACTTCCAGATGACTTTCCTCGCTTAACAGGCTTTTTCATCTTTTCTTCCCTTTGTTCTTGTTGATATTCTGCCACATGACCATCTTTCCTTCTTTCATCTTCCTCACCTTCAGCTAATTACAAGTCCCAAACATCAAAACCAACGTCTTTATGACATTAATATCAACAAAAAACCCAACTTAGAGAACTTACTTTCGTTCGCCAAAGCTATGATTCAAGCAATTACATAATAAATAAAGATAGACAACGCAGACTCCCAACCCTCGGTCCCTAAAGGCTTACTCTTCACATTTTCAGGATCATATTTTGCTAGAGAATGTGCCAAAATAATTTGTAATCAACATTACGAGCCTCTAATAGAATATATCAACTATAATTAGATGTCAAAGCGAGAGCTTACACGGTTCTAATAAGGTAAGAAGAGTGATAGACGATGTAAGAGCAGTTGATTGGTAAATTATACTACAAACGCAAGCATAAAAGATTTAAAAGTAGACTCACGCAGACCCCGAATACGCAGGTGTACAGTTCCAATAATGCAATCGGGTTGAAGACGCCATACATGAAGATCGTGAATTTTGACGATACCTTCGATCTGCAGAAGAGCGTACAAATTTTAAGAATGAACGAGCAACTATTTTCCCCCCACTAGGCTGCTTATATCAACGCGAATTAAATAGCACTCAGGAAAAAAAGTAGCAAGGCCGCTGTGGAAAGCAAACACAAGGGAAATTTAAAATTTATACACGATGGAATGATAATTCTATCACGAATTATGAAACAAGTGGGGTGGTTGTTGGCTAGATGTAGAAACTACTCCTCAACTCAAAGTTGATGACGACGTAGTTATGAAATTATAGAAAATTGACAAAATTCACAGAATGTCAATGATCACATAAGTGATATTGACAAAAAAGAAGAGAAGACTTTCACAAAGACGACTTGTGATGATCACACACGATCAGATGTTATGGCAAGGGATATCGAAAAAGTGACACTGTGAGCAATTTTTATTTAAAGAAGGACCAAATGGGTGTAACCATATTATTTAACGAAAAAAGGCCAAGACTCCATTGCCCATGAAATTCTATTAAAAAAATTATATCATTGACCATCAATATCGTTAGAACGTTCGGTATTGCGTGTACTGGGTTTCGATTAATGGGAGTAATTGTATGACTGTTTCGAGAGATGAAATTTAACTACCAAAATATCCATAGCTAGACTATAGTTTATACCGATCACGACAAGAATCCTATTAACCTTTGCCAAAACCAAAAGAAACAATTCGAAAAAGTTAAACCTTCTACTAGTAGCTTATCAATCATAACCGTGACACATTAAGAACTAAATTGTCAATAGAGTGAATACGATTGAGTTCCATTAAATTCAAGCAAAAATTTACGTAGAAGTGCATTCTACTATACCAACACACATGTACTTTAGCATATTAACATGACTCAACACACCAAAACAATTTCTAACCAAACCAGAGTATAGTTAAAATTAGTAGATTCAGATCGAAGCCCTTAAGCTATCAGAAAGCTAGACTACTTGTTATAGAACATGGCAGATGTATGCGCATTCCAATATAACATATCAATATAAGTGGTAAATGCGACAAAGATAAATTAGTTGTACACACACAAACACATATCGTCGGCCCCATAGGAAGTTGGCACACACTTTTTAAAAAAGAAACCTCGATACTATCTTTCATCTATTGGAATATTGACTATTGTGAAAAATGCATAATAGCGGTGTGGCCGAGGAATAAAGCCTCCACATACCTTTTCAATTCGATTTTTCACATTCTTGACACAAATTTCCCGTGGGACAGATTGCAGAAGGATGAGAATGGACTTGAGTGCTGCAAAAAGAAATCAAAGAAATAAAACCATAGGAGTATGGGTGAAAAATTGACTTAACTCATTTCAAAACAAATTGAGTTAAGTAGCTGCATACATTGGGAGATTTGTGAAAATTTAGAATAGAAAAACAGTAGCAAACACATTAGACGGACTAGAAGAAAAAGGAACATGGCTCCAATTTTACGCACGTGCTTTGTACGCATATAAGGGAAAAAGTCGACCTCCACACGCCTATATGTGAATAGCGAGAGGTCTGATATGTGAAGAAGCATTTATATTGTTTTCGTATTTGTATCGAGGTTAAAAGAGATGAGCAACGCCCGTATCTATCTACTTATATCGCACTAGAGAATCATAAGCCAATTTAATACAATCAAGAAAGACAACTCGTCTAAGTTAGTTTGCATATAATGTATAAAACTATTTACACTATTTTAATATAGTGAAAGTCAAACATACTCAGTGGTATCGTTGATATGGAGATGATGAGGACCATACAAATGCTACAATACGAGAAACGAAAATTATGACATTGAAACATAATGACAATTTAAGGCATTCCAACCTCACTGAAATAATTGCAAGGGGCTCACCTTAAGCAAGGATCCAAATAGAGTTTCCATTTGTAATGTGAATCTTGGGGATTGCCAGGAACAAGCCAAATTACAAGAGCACAGGTGACTACGATAACCGATCCAAAAAAGTCCGCCAAAATATGCAGGAATACAGCCTGCATATTCATAGATCGGGCTAAATGGAGCGATAATAAAAGGTGGGTTGAACGAAGAGAATGTGACATAAAATAAAAATGGTGACAATAAAATATTCAGAAAAACACCAGATATGCCAAGTGAACACCATATAAACTGATTTACTCATGCAAAAACACCAGAGGGAACGAAAAACGGACAATACGCATATGTGACTTGTCTCAGGCAAAAAGTGATAGTTTCATGCAAAATTTAGACAAAAAACGCACTTTTTCGCCTCCGAGATAATCTTTTTTTATCCGCTATACGAGTTTAAATGTTGGATAAACGAGAATGCATATAACAAACGAAAAAGCTAAATTACTAATTGAAAAGGAAAAAGATAAATAGGAAAGAAGTAAATATATAAAGGAGGTTTCCATACTTTCTTTAGCGACTTTGCGAGGTTTGATGTTGCGACAGGGAGCAAGATGACAATTTTCATGATCTTGATCAGTGTCAGAAGGTCGCCGAAGATACTGAAGAGTCGATAAGCAGGAGCAGCAGTCAGATTTTCGTCGAGTTTGAACATTAGAGGCAAGAAACTCCGAATCCATTGCTTCATATGAACCGATATTACCGTTGGGGGTAACATTCGTGTTTACACCAACCTCCATCTTTTCACAATCGACAATATCCTGTCTGAGCTAAAAACAACAGGCAAAAGCACTTTGCAAGTGATCAGATTTCAGGAATCTTGGACAATAAAATGAAAGTAATTTTACTTCTTCCACAACACCTTCAACAGGAGCAGGACCATGAGAATGCCCGTGTCCACCAGTTATAATAAGACCAAGAATGTTTACAACCAGACCACCGACTCCAACGTAAAACATCAGTTTTGGGTTGTTGATTTCTTCGAGAAAAATGAAGCGCTCAATAGCGTTGATGAGGATAGTGAAACATAGTGCTATGAGCATGACTGAGTTTATCAGACTGCCCATGACCTCGGCACGTTGCCATCCGAAGGTATTTCGAGAAGACTTTGGTTTTTTAGCTATTCTGGTGGCAACAAGTCCAACAATCAGGGCCATAAAATCAGAAATCATATGAAAAGCGTCTGCGACAAGTGCCAATGAGTGACACCAGTAACCCGTTATCAGTTCTGCGAGCATAAAGAGGATAACCAACACCATCATTAAGACTAACCGATGGGTTTTAGGCAGGTTTAAGTGCTGATGGCCAGACATGGTGGATGAGTGAACAAAAATGAACTTAACCGAATTTGTAAAGTTTACGCTAGCCTACACACAGTCAAACAAATATTAAATGAACTCACGAAATGAATGGATTTTTAACAAAATGTAAGAGTCACTTTCCTTTAATTTAATGATTTTGCTTTATGATTTACCATTTATGTTTGTTTAATTTTGTATACACACCAGAATATCTAATTCATGAGTTCGAATATAATTTGTTGTAAGAATATTGACAGGAGGAATAAATATTCGCAAAATAACGTTCGATTTTGAATGCATGGGGGTACGTAAATTTGTTAAAGCTATTTATTTGGTGAATTTAATTTACCATGTGTCCAGGAAAACTTTGGTGAATTTATATGCATATAGAGTAATTTTGATAATTATTTCAATATCGCTATGAATAATTTCGTAATTACTGGATATGCAGCTAAAGCAACAGCCTAATTTTCTCCTGTAATTAGTTCCATGTAAGTGTCTATAACTACCCTTAATAACAAAATCAACGATTTTCAAAGCTTTCAACTTAATATATGGATGAGGAATAATTCATTACTTATCCATTTGTTCAACCATTTTTATGGCTCTTGCGGGACACGTCATCGCATGCACGCACGCCAGGGTTTGGAGTGCTTGGTCGTACGCCTAGAACACTGCTCAGATATTTGTTATTAATGTTCAATTAAGTTATGCTAGGTTTATTTGATAACTAATCGTATTCACTGATGTCATAATTTGTAATAAACGTGTTCTCTGTAATACGTCTTTTTCCTTCATAGCTTCGCTGCAGCTTAGCTAGTTCAGAGAGCCTATTCAGATATAAGAGATACTGCCATAGAGATTTCTGACTTGGTCAAGCCTTTGTTAGTGTAGCCGTTCGCTACAATCTTTGTCTACTTGAATTACAATAAATTTGTGACTTTTACCTTAATACATCCTATCTCATTTAATGCATAAAAATCATATGAATAAATTTATGTTTAAAAAGATTAGTTTAATTTTCATTCGCATGTTTCCCTCTCTGCATATAATAGATAAGTAAACATGATTGACCAAACTCTCCCTTTGTTTTGTTTAATTCTAAGTTTTCCTCCCGAATGAAGCTTATTTTTCATACAGCAAGATATCTATTTTTACTTACTTATTCAAATTTCTGGCCCTTTTAGAGAGCAAGAGGAGGTAGTTTTTCACGAATTTGACTTCAAAACTTGTAGCGGATTGATACGCTAGTAATGCCTGACTGACTCAGATGTCCCTGTGGTAGATTCACCTACATCTAGTTACCCCCAGAACTAGCTAAGCTATAGCCCAGCTATGAAAGGAAACAGACGTGTAGCACGGAGCATGTTTATTCAGTACGGATATAGCGGATAAAGTGTACACGCAGGGAGCTTAATCATAATCAGGATGGCGGATTAGGTTAACCAAACAGAGGTTGATGATTGGTAACAGTTTGTACGGTCGCACCTCCCAATCCTGGCGTGCTGGCATGCGATGACGCGTTGAGCAATGACATGTCCCACAAACTCACTGTTGCAAGCTTAAGCTTTTAGGAAATAGAAAAATTAATAAAGGCCTCGCAGGGCTCGTTTCATTTTAGATATGAGAGCTTGCATCATTTCGAAAAGTTTTCATATTCAACACGATCTCTATATTGATTGAAGTGATG